TGTATTTTTTTGTGATTTAGTTGGCCCTGGCAGAGCGCAACCTGCAGCTTCAGAGTAAGATCCAAGTGAAAGAAAAAGAGTTTTGTTACTTGGATGTTCCCAACGCAAACACGAGCCTTCAGAGAAGAGAGAAGAGGTCTTTGAGCTCCGACAGCCTTGACCACAGCGTCCTGGAGGCATCTTTCAACGAAACAAGGTGAAATTGCTTATGACAGGGCAATAGATTAAGTCTCCATATGAGGTCTTTGGTGCTTTGATAGATACCCAAAAATATTTTTTTAACGACATTTGAAGGTTGGCCTGTTATTATGTTCTAAGTATTAAATAAATATTAAAACATTTACATTGACTTTTGAACAATTTTCTTTTTAGGAAGCTTTCAGCACCGGATGAGTCAAGCACACCACTTGTCCGAAGTTCGGAACGCTTGGCAGCAAAACGACGAGGTCTGCGGACTGAATCGCTGGAAACTCTCTATTTCACACCTATAAACACCAAAAAGGAGAACAGGTGAGTCACACACACCTAATATGATGAGACGTTTTGAGCAAAATACTTTACTGAATACACACCTAATATGATGAGACGTTTTGACCAAAATACTTTACTGAATAAAAAAAAAAAATGTTTAAGTTATTATCTAACAATGACATGCTTTTCACTTCTCTACACCTATTGATTAATGAAAAATCAAAGAGTTGCAGAGTTGTCCAAATACAGCGTTTTCCTTTTCATCACGCAGAAACGGCCATGAGAACAAACTAGAGCTGGACTCCGCACGCCGGAATCCAAGTTCTTCAGTCAAACGGCGCCGGACCACGCAGGTTATAAACATCACCATGACCAAGGTGGAGTAAACTCACCTACGCACTGCATGTTGTTCACATTCACTTGTCACCTTCTAGTCCACAGCAACATTTTTTTTCCTTTCTGATGTTTACAGATAATGTGACTATGCAAATACACTCGGGATTTTTTTAAATATATTTTTCTTTTAAATCAAGGATCATCAACTACATTTGTCGGAGGGCCAGAATTTTTATACACCTTTCGGACCGGACACTCAAAATAAATAAAATAAAGTAAAAAAAATAACAAAAAATAAAAATCTTTTTTTTTTCCCAAATAGAGTAATGAACGGTGGGGATTATTGATGATTATTTAAGTCTGAGTGGTTGATTTTATTTTTCAGTTGTTTTAATAGTGGGTGCCGCGCTATATTTTCGATTAAATCCTCTGCCGCAATGGCCGTCAGTTCATGGTCGCTGTCTGAAATTAACTTAAAACAGAATTTAAATAATAAAAGTAATATCTTCTTATAGCCATGTGTAACGAGTAACTTTCTCTACCTTGTAGCAAACCCCTGGCCGCGGTGAAGACGAGGAGACCTTCTACAGTCTGACCTCAGCTCGCTCCCAACCAAACCTTGCCACAGCACAACCTTTGTCCACGGAGCTGTTTGTCACTCCTTCCAAAATGACCGGTGCCGCCAGCGACCAACTCGTCGGTCTCCCAGGGTACCGACGAAGCACCATCCACTCACAGAGTAAGTCCGGTCCATGCTGTGTCATGGGAGGGGACACTAGTAGGCAACAAGGTAACAGATCAACAACTGGTTTGACGCAACGCTTCATTCTCATGTCTGTGTCTTAAGCCACGAGTACCTTTTGCGTTGGGGCTGAAAATGAGCCAGACGGTGCGCCACCTGAGGACTGGATGAGGATCGCTGAACTGCAGGCCAGGAACAAAGCGTGTCTTCCTCATCTGAAGAGCAGCTACCCTGTGGAGTCAGAGGTAAGTTGAAACGCTCCGCCCCATGCATTTTTACATGCTTTATTGTCAAAAGTGAAACTTTTAATTCAAATGTATTGAGTGTCAGCTATGAATATACAGAAACTTCAATTGCGTTAAAATGTTTGTTTTTTTTTTCTCCAGACTGGTCATGGTAGCGTTATGGCATTCACCGATGATGAAGTGCGTACAGGTGACCCAGTCGACACAATTCGACGTGCGTCCATGATGCCTGGACAGCTCCAGGACTCGCTGCTGTCCCACCGTCAGTCTCTCATGATTGGACAGTCGGGACTTGCAGCTAATACTCGCTCGCATCGTCTTTCCTTGATGCCTGGGCAGCTGCCCTCCAGGACGGTCAGCTCTTCTCAGCTGAAGAGCCCAAAACACACCAAGAGGTCTTCTTCTACACTTTCTGTGCAGCAAATGTCCCCTGAGGTTTGTTTACATTGTGTTAACTGTGATTTCTTTTTTTAATTGAATTTTCCCAGAACTATGTCTTTACTATGTCACTTCCTGAATCCCTATATGACTGTATGATTTTTTTTTTCAATCCAACAGAAGAAAGTAAAAGCCAGCTGCTTCCCCCGTCCTCTGACGCCCAAAAACAGAAATATTAACACTGGATCCAGCCGCTCTCATCTTCATCCTGCCCTTAGTCCTGTAAGTTCACCATGTGCACATACACACATAAAAACACAAACAGTGTTAGCCTTGTTCTGTTAGCATTTAACATTGTGGGCTTTCATTCTACTCAGGCTGATCGTAGACAGTCCATGATGTTCTCCATCGACAACACGCCCAAGAAGAACAACTACCTGAAGAAAGGGCTAAACAAACTGCGTGGCTCCACCACCATCACGCCTGCGAAAGACCCTCAGTCTAGTGTGGGACGAACGGGCAAGGCCGGGAGCTTCAAGTCGCCCCAAGCGGCGATTAAGGGACGGAGGAAGTCTCCACAAGCTAGCAGCAAGTCAGGAAAGTCTCCTGGACTGACGGCCAGTGCTCGCAAGGTAAACATATTTGAATACGTCAAGTACAGAGAAAAGCAATAACAATTTTTTATATTGTACAAATTCTGTAATTATTTTTAAATAAAAAAAAATTATAATTATTGTTATTTATAATTTTAGACTACAATTTAGAATAGAATAGTCTTTATTGTCATTGTAACACGGGGGTACAATGAAATTGAGGGACAACGAAATTAACATTGACATCATGTAACTTTTGCTCCAGCTAAGAAATATTTTTTAACTGTTGTGAAGAAAGAATTCTTCAGCTTACGATAAATATGATAAAATTTAATAAAAGTGTTTGTGTTTTTACAGTTATAAGTTGGAGAATTTGGATTATACTCATTGGTTGTGGTCTTCACCATATTTAGTCACTTTGTCTAGTTTGTTGATGGTATTCTGGAATTTTCCTGGTGCTTGTTTTATAGTTTAATCCATTGTAGTAATTGTTGAATTTGAAAAATGTTTTCAGAAACCGCTGTCTGTAAATGAAGAAAACCTTCCCGGATATTTTAAAAGGTCAAAAACTGTTTTGCATTAGTAAATGTGGGTGAGAATGACACTATCTCCTAAAGGTGTTGTTGGTTCTCACATTGGGACATGTGGTCTTTGGGTGGACAAGGTCACTTCCAATGTTTTGGTTTGTGTTTAATTCTGCTTTGGGTGATTAATCTTTACCTATTTTCCTCATGTTAAATGCTAACTAAATACCTATTTTTTTTAATGACATTGTTTTTATTTGTTCTGTTTTAACGTTTGTTTATTGTCTTAATTCTGCAGATAATGCGGCGAATGAAGGTGTGAGGGCCTATGGAATCATGATCTGCAGCTTTATCACTTTATCTTTTGTTTGTTTACCGCTGTCCTTCAGGATTTCTTTTTTTTTTTAAATTTTGTCATGATTATCTTTTATTCTCTCTGTATTATATTTCCATCCTTTCTGAATAAAATATCTAAAAAAGCTTTTGCTTCTCTCAAGTTAGAATGCATTCCATTTTGAGTCTTTTTTTTATTACGCAGAGCAAATATACAATATTTTGACTTGAATGAATAATAATCAATTGCAGAAACATGTATTAAATATGTTATGGAGTAGTAACATCTATAGAGTCTTAACTGGCCCGCCTAGGGGAACTGTATTTTTTATGTGGTCCCCTAGTGAAAATGAGTCTGACATCCATGCCTTATATGATCTTAAAATAATAAATAAGAATCATAAAATAACTGGCAATAGGAACATTAAAAAAATGCAAAAATAAGAATTCAATTTTTTATTTACATTCTGTGCATGGTGAACTTATTTATAAAAATCGAAATGATTAAAATATAATTAAAGGGACAAATATTACTTTCTTAATAGAAATGCAGTCTAAGTTTTTTAATTATTGTGGAGAGGCTTCTTACATATTAAAAGTCACAATCATCTATTATCAGGAAAGTGTAATGACTCCAACTAATAGGAAACACGTTAGAACATCACATGACCTTTGAAAAACATGACGTCACAGTAGACGTATTTGATACGCGACATACTTCACAGAATTTGCCCGTTTTATAAAAAACATTTTAATAACTATTGTTAATATTTTCATAACTGCAAAACTTGTCAACACAAAATGACCTTGTCTGTTTGTTTGTGGAAACAAAAAATAATATACATGATCTTCAAACATATCAATAAAAAGGACGTCAACATCATCTACAGATTAGATGTATTTGGGGAACATAAAGTCTTAGATTACACCATATTACAATAATATAATAATAGTTTCATTTTTAATCCTACACTTCCGAATTTTACCGAGTCGCTGCCAAAAAAAGAGTAATCATCTGAAATATTTTTAATGAGTGGCAATGCAAATTTATTTTTTAAATTGAACTGAATTTGAACAAAAAAAGGCTAGACCGTTTATATTAAGCATTACCACCCATTTTTACTGGATATTTATTACGAACGGTATACGGTCTGTAATTTTAAATTAATCTCTTCAAAATAAAACTACCTAAACATTTTGAATTAGAGCCCTTGCGTTAAAACTTTGGTAGCTTTTGGTAGCCAAGAATAAGTTATTATTAATGAGTTATTTCTTTAAGCCTTCATAAATAAGTGTCGATATTTTTTGTGTGAAAACGACTTGTGGATGTTTATAGGAAATATAATCTTTTATTTTGAAGGCAGTGAATGCCCCGGAAAAGCTTAAAATAAAAGTTCCGTATTCCTTCATCAAAAGGAATTGTGTAACCGACCCGATTAAAAAAATACGTTTTACACTGTTGTAAACGTTTGATATGGCTTATTAATTAAGGGTCGTTAAAAAGCTATTTGGGCTGTTTTTATTTTTTGATTAAGGCGCAGAGTTAGCGACAGCTACATTAGCTAAAGTTTTGAAATGAAAGTCTATATTTTGAAAATGCTAAAGGAACATCACAGCTAAACAAGAGGCTAAATGGATTCAGACGCAGAAGTGGACAGGTATGTAGGTGTTTTTGCTTCACATGTGTATTAATTTCTTCATTTTGTTTTTACCCCTTCATTTATGTTTCTAGAATAGTCGATTACACCATGTATTTGTGTACTTAGATAGCAGGTTGACACAAAAATGGGTGACGGATTGATTTTTTAAAAACTGAAATTTTAACGTGTTAAATGTTTGAATGTTGACAGTGGTACAATAATAATAATAATAATAATGGCAAAACACAAAACAAAAACTATTCCAATCCTTGTAAAGTATCCTCTTTGGTTAACTATTGAGCTCAGCGCCTTTGTCCCATTACTTGTTACCCTTCTCCTTAGAATCCTAAGGCGGAGGGGTGAAGATTACGATGAGGAGAATAATTGGAAGAGGCCCCCTTCGAGTTATGGTTCAATGAGGAGTGAGAGTGAATGTGAGGAAGAAAAACAAGGAGAAGGAGATGGAAATAAGAACGCTGCAGCCATGTTACCTGGCTCCACTGCAAATGGGCAGACAAGGTACTGTCTTTTTTTTTTCTTTTTTTTTTTGTAAGCACCAAAATGAGAAATCAAAAACGTAGAAACCAAGGCCGAAAAACCAAAACACAGAAAGAAATAATTTTGCTAATTATTAGTACCAGTGCATTTATGCCTATGACTGCGTACTAACGTCACTGAAATCAAGGCATTGCAATTGCATAAATTCATGTTAAAGTTTAAAAGAATAAATCAACTACAAAATTAGGAAAACATTTATATAGTACATTCCAACAATGCACAATATAAAATAAAATCAGAATTCAAAATAAAATGTTTAACTCATGTACATTAGATTAACAATGTACAGGCCTCAGGGGCACAGCCGGGATTTTTGAACTGTGGGAACTGTCAGCTATATATATATATATATATTTGTTATATTTATGTTTTTATATGGCTGTCGGTTGTTTTTCTTTCATAGAAACTCCGACATTTGTTATTGTGTTTGTCACCTTATGTAAGGATCCAAGGGGATCATGTCCCCTCATCCCTTGTGCCATCTATGCCCATGACAGGTTTGCTTATATAGTGCAATAAATTGCACGTGCGAAAAAGAAAACTGGCATATTATATCAGGAATTCAGTATCTTAAATATTTGTGTCCCAGTCAATGTGTGTAATGCATTGTATTTCTAAAAGGACACTTTCTAAGTAAAACTAATCTTCACTTTTTCTTTACACTATCTAGGTTTGAACCGATTGGCTTTGGTTCCTACACGACGACAACATATCATCCACCGTCAGGAGCTCTTTTCATTCACACCAGGTTGACAGTGTTCAGACATACACACACACGCACACACACACACAGTGTGATTACTGGTCAGTTTCTTACCAAGGCATTTGGATTTCTGGTATCTTTAAGCTCTGCGGACATTGAACACTTTTCAGAGGATGATGATGAGGAAATGGAACGAGAACTGATCGCCACCTCCCCAGAACCGCCTGAACCTGTGGAGCTAGAAGACACTACACAGACTGATGAGAACAGCCAGCCGGGCAGACTACACCCAGAGCAAGATCTGCCACATATATTCAAGGTTGACGATGTGTAGTTAATCTCAACACACACACAAAAAAAATACTTTTTTTAACTTCTCTTTGAAAAATTTCTGTTTATTCTTTATATCCATCTGTAGAGCATCCAGAATTGTCTTGGTAAACTTGACCCTCACATGGAGCTTCACCATTTCAAACAGTGGTATTTACATTTGGATAAAAGCATTCCACCTGAACAACTGCTGGATGAAGATTTGCTTTTCCTCGTGGACCGGATGATTCAGGTCCTTGGTAAGTTTGTAAAAGTTTTGTTTTTTTTTTAAATAATGAAACCCACATTCTTCCTAGTATCGTAAAACTTTAATCTTGTGCTTTTTAAAAACTTTACCCTGATTTGCAGGACTGGGCCAAGCCTTGATAACCACAATATCTACACTAGAATGTCTAAAGAAAAACACTTTAGCAGTTGAGCTGCGTGAAGAGTGCAAGAGAGGTATGTGAACACTTACATATGTACAGTATATACAGTGGGGCTTCAAGATACGAGCGACCTGAAATACGAGTTTCCCAAGTTACGAGTAAGCAACTTTTGCAAGATTTACCTCGTGATTTGGGTAAACATCGAGTTAGGGGTGCTCAACCGAGCTCCATTTTTCCCTTTCGACACTTAACTGTTGCGCTGTTGCGCTCACTGTTTTATTAACTATTATTATTTTATATTATCAATATATTTTTTTATATTTATGTTTTAGATGTTTAGATGGGGGAATTTTAATATAATTAATTAATAGTATATTTCTGCGTGGCTGGAACTAATTAAATGAATTAAATTTGATTTTTAGTTATTTTTAATGGGGAAAATGCAATCGAGATATGAGCGGATCGACATACAAGTGCTATTGTGGCACGGATTAGATGGGTATCTCGGGAATGTACTATCATAAATTTGAACACTAATACTTGTACTGATACTACTACTACGATTAACTGGAATTATCGTAACCTATCTTCACCTGCAGCAGAGATCTGTTATCAGCTGAAGGAAGACTTGAAGAGAAGACACAGGGCCATCTTCGAGGGCGTCCCTCGAGCGGGACACTGCAAGCCTTTTGACCAAATCTATGTAGAGCCGCAGATTTCAACCTGCAGATATGGAGGAGTCGATCCCTCTCATGAGTTCCGTTCACCATCATGTCCCCAGGTCCTGGCTCCCGACAGCTTTATTAGTTTGAACAATTTGTTTAGACTTCAAAAGAGTGATGGCTCAGCAGTGAGGACGGTGTTGACCAGTGGGATTCCAGGAATGGGAATGACTGTTTCTGTGTGCAAGTTCTGCCTTGACTGGGCGGAAATGCGAGCTAACAAGGTGACAAGTTTTTACAAAAACATTAATACACATTCAATAGTTTATATATTCCTAATAACTGCTACACTTTTTAACAAAGCATCAAAGTATGTTTGTTATTTGGTAATTTGATGCAAACAGATTTTGATGTTTTGTTAAAAAGTGTACCAGTTATTTCAAGCACATTAACTCTGCAAAACTCCCAGATTAGCTATTCCCATATATAAAGATTCACACATGCTGTGGCTACAAATAACATCCCAGGTGCTCGATTTTACACATTGTGTCGACAGCAGTCTGTGAGACCATTTGCCAAGTAGAACCCATAACATTTTGACAATGAGCAACAGACCTTCGACAGAAACACACAAGTTGGGTTTTTGTTTTTTGTTCCTGTTCCTTGTTTCAATGTTAAATGACACTAATCCTTAAATCCATGTGATTCCATTTTTACCCAAGGATCTGCAGTTCGTCATCAAACTCTCATTTCGCAAGTTCTGGAATCTGCGAAAAGGACATCTTCACTCTCTGGAGATGTCCATCATGGAATTGATTCAATATTTCCACCCAGCGTGCAGAAACATGTCGTACCTGGAGGAGGAGGACTGTAAATATCTCATAATTATGGACTCCTTCGATTGTTACCAGGCTCCTCTAGACTGGAAGGTATTCATCTCACCACATACACTACTGAGATTACGTTTATGATTAGTTTTTTTTCTAAAATTGTGATTTAAAACAGTTTCACACAGTGACACAGTTTTCATTTGCACCGTCCAACTCTGTCATAGTTTAGGATTAATTTGGTCATAGATGAACAAACAAAAAACTCATAAAATTGTTTTGTGTTTTCCCTTTTGTGTTTCCCCCTTTTTTTCCTTTTCTAGAATGCTCCAGTTATAACTGATCATCACACTAAGGCACATCCCGATGATCTCATTGTGAACATTATCCGTGGTACACTACTCCGTAACGCCCATGTGTGGATTCTGGGCAGAGGAGCAGCTGTGTCACAAATTCCTTCAAACTTAATCGATGTCGCCACAGAAATTCAAGGGTTCAGGTGTGGATTAAGTTCTTATATTAAATATAGAATTATTAAAGTATGCTCACAGTTTTTCTGACTTATTAAATTTCTCACCAGTGATGAGATGAAAGACGACTACTTCACCCGGCGCCTTGTCAGCACCGCACTTGCTGTGAAGATCATTGAGCATTACAAGCGATTGCCGACTCTGAATATTCTGGCCCGTCAGCCTTTCATCTGCTGGATGATTGCACAAGTGTTTACGCACAGTTTCTCCTGTGAGGACTATGGGGAGAACCCCCCAAGGCTTACTCCGTTCTACATCCACATTATGATTATTCAA